CTCAACCCATACTATTGAGGTTGGGGGCATCCAACCCCCCAAAACCCCCCCAGCGGGGGGGGAATTTGTGGGGTTTGAAGCCCCCCCCATTTAAAATTTGCCAAGGTTGAGGAACACTGATCTAGATTTACAACCACGTTGCCGCTTCTCAGTCCCATCCTGGAGGATTACCATGGAGGGCAGTGCAAAGTAGAAACTCTCTGCTTTACACAGCCCTCCATGATGATCTTCTACTCTACTGAGGAGTGTCCTTAAGGGGGTTAAAACAGTCAAGATGGCAGCCACAACATGCAATCAAAGCCCTGCCCATTTTTTACACATATCATGAGGCACCTAAAAAAGGTAGGGGGCTTCCATTGCCTAGTTGTGGCTGCCATCTTGAATTTTTTGACTTCCTCCTTGTGGACACACCTAGTAGGGAAGCAGGATATGAAGATAGGCATGAGGTTAATTCTCAGTTGCTGGTGGCCACCAGAGGTAGGGAGTAGGCCTGGAGACCTTGCGAGGTTCATGCCCATCTTCTACAACCAATGTTGCCCCATTCTAGCTATGAGAATTGTGCTGCTAATCAGCGAAAAGGCCGTAGGACTGTTGGTTCTCTGAGCTTGTTTTCCTGCTGATGTTTCATTACCAGGCTAGGTAACATCATCAGTGCTCAGATGATGATCACAACCAAGCTCAGGGAACATGCCAAGTTCAGGGAACATCAAGAACCCAGCCCTTCCATTCTGAAGCACCAATATTCTTTACTATTAAGACAGAGCATAACTCCTTCTTCATTGTAGAAGGAACTGGCTGAAGGGACTAGAGAACAGATCACCTACACAGATGTTGGCAGTGTGGCACCTCCTTTAATCAAACTAAAACTTAAATGGATGGCTCCAGAATCAACCCCAAAAGGCCCTCCAGAAAAATCAGCTCTTTGCAGCTATCCAGAAGGCCATAAGAGCAGCCTTGGAGGTCCAGCAGTCCCATAGGAGGGGACCCCCTAGGGCAGGCTGGCAGACGTAATGAGGTCCCTTAGCATGACTAACATAATGAGATTACAGATTCCCCTGCATTTTAATGGCTTATTATTGATCAGCGCAAACTGGCCAGGGAAGACAGAGTGTGCCTAGAGGCTGTAAATGAACAAAAAATTAATGGAGTTGTGCTCTGGGTTACCTTGCAGGCTGACGGCTTTTGTGCTGAAGTCCTTTTTTCAGGCGAAGAGATATATCTCTGTGGAGGAACGTCACCTGATTGACGCTCGGATGTTTTTGGCCTTAAAACAGAAGGAAAATGGCTGCTTCCAGAGCACTGGGGCACTCCTGAACAATGCGCTAAAGGTATAGAGAAAGCAAGCAAGGGAGAAGTCAACGTAGCCTCAGTCCCTGCAAAACAGAACAAGGGCTAGGACCAACTAACCCAGTGTTTCTCAACCTCAGCAACTTTAAGCTGTCTGGACTTCAACTCCCAGAATTCTCCAGCCAGCTAGCTAGGGAAGTCTGGGAGTTGAAGTCCAGACATCTTAATGTTGTGAGGTTGAGAAACACTGAGCTAACCTATGGCAGTGTTGTCCAAACTTGGCCACTTTAAGATGAGTGGACTTCAACTCCACTGAGTGGACTTCAACATGAGTTGAAGTCCACTCATCTTAAAGTGGCCAAGTTTGGACAACACTGCCATAGGTTAGCTCAGTGTTTCTCAACCTCAGCAACTTTAAGCTGTCTGGACTTCAACCCCCAGAATTTCCCCGCCAGCCAGCTAGGGGAGTGCGGGGGGTT